ACATGGCGCTCAAAAAATAGATTATTGTTCTGCATTCGTTATTTCACAACAAGGACCCCAAGTGATAACCGAATAATTGGATTGTACTATTAAAATAGCAGGCTGATAGATTTGTGTAACACACGACTTTGTCTGGGACTGGTTTCTATTTTGGGATGGTAGAACCACTAACAGTAAATCATTAGTCTGAACACTGGATGTGATTATTTGTTTAATTAATCCTATCACACTTTGATTATTGTGATCCTGAGCACTCAGACAAACCACTGTGCATACCATGGTTTTCAATAGAAATCCACAGAGCTGTTCATTATGGAGCAGGATGAGAAGGAATCCTAATATAGTTCCATTCTTAGAGAAAAAATGTCAGGCAACCTCATGACCCGAAACACAAGAGTACCTGGTCATGTGTCAGTCAGGCTTAAATGGTTGTTGGTGTCAGTGATCTTTTTTACTGGCTAACTTGTTCTGACAGAAATGCTCATATGTATGTTGGCTTTTTTAGGAAATGTTTGCTCTCTTTTTGAAACACAAAAATACTTTAATAATATCCATGAAAATAAATCAGACTGTCAGGATCACACATTCAATAAAGCAATTTCTCCATGCCCCTGGTTTCTATGGAAACACCACCTACACTATAGGTTGTGGCAACAGAGATGTGTTCATTAAGCTATAACTCTGTTGCTTTGAATGTCCTTGGTGCCTACCTGTCTCTGCACTAACCGTTTTTACCAACACTGCCAACCTATAGTGCTAATTAAAAAAGGAGCAGTCAGATGATTATCACCATAGACAATAATATATAGACTATTACACCTGATTGGATTTCATTTGAATTGCTGGGGCAGCTCTGTGTCAATGACATTCATAATTGCACTCCACCGATTAGTCTGCATATTTGTGAATTACCTCTTTCCTTAGGAGGTAGAACCAGAGGGCGTGATCTCTGGTCTGGTGCTCATGCTCATTAAACAACCTAGCAAAACTAGGACAAGCCTGTAGTATAACATTTGTTTCCGACGTCGTTATAAAATTATCAAGTCACTTTCAGTGTAAATACTTTCTTGAATAGAGATATTACTCTCCTTAAAAATATATATATATATTATGGAGTTATTATTATGACCACAGTATCTTCAAGACAAACCTACTTTTTTGACCACGGTATCTTCAAGACAAACCTATTTTTCTGACCACGGTATCTTCAAGACAAACCTCTTTTTCTGACCACGGTATCTTCAAGACAAACCTACTTTTTTGACCACGGTATCTTCAAGACAAACCTACTTTTTTGACCACGGTATCTTCAAGACAAACCACTTTTTTTGACCACGGTATCTTCAAGACAAACCTCTTTTTTTGACCACGGTATCTTCAAGACAAACCTAATTTTCTGACCACAGTATCTTCAAGACAAACCTATTTTTCTGACCATGGTATCTTCAATCAAACCTACTTCTTTGACCACGGTATCTTCAAGACAAACCTATTTTTTTTTACCACAGTATCTTCAAGACAAACCTACTTTTTTTGACCACGGTATCTTCAAGACAAACCTCTTTTTTGACCACATTATCTTCAAGACAAACCTACTTTTTTGACCACGGTATCTTACAGACAAACCTATTTTTCTGACCACGGTATCTTCAAGAGAAAAAAAAAAAATTGGGACCACGGTATCGTAAAGACAAACCAATTTTTTGGACCACGGTATCTTCAAGACAAACCTACCTTTTTGACCACGGTATCTTCAAGACAAACCTACATTTTTGACCATGGTATCTTCAAGACAAACCTTTTTTTTTTTGCGGCAGCTAATTATTCGAGAATTGTAGTGCTATTTGTGTGAAAACGTGAGTAGCTAGTCAAGGTTCACTCGCCTTGTTGAACTAACTATCCCTTTCAGTGTGTTTTACCATAAATAAGATCAGTCGGTTTGTGCTCTTACCAACTACATTGCTGACATTGTAAAGCCAAAGTTTGGCATGACAATGAGTGACAAGGAGTTATAATATTAGCACAAATAGACTGGCACTCAGGCTACAGTAGTGTAATGTAAACAGTAACAGTCTTCTAGAATCCCTGTGGTGTTCTATGTGGAATCATCTATAGAATCATCTTCACTTGTCTCTGTTATATCATTTCTTCAGTTTTATCATGGAGGTCACTACTATAAACTGTTTTACACAGTACCTATGCTGGGGTGGTGTGTTGCAGGTGGAGGGATTTGCTAGACCAACCTCAGGCAAACAAGGAACATCTCATCTCTGCCTACAGGCTAAGTCACGGTTGAATCACCGGTTAAAGGAATCTGGTTATTTTTAGTTCCTGCAAAGAGAAACTCGACAGTATAAAGCATTAACATCACGAAGACAGTTTATTTCCAACATGACAGCGGATACAACATAGACTGTTCCAAGCGGAGTCCATCTGCACACTTGAATACCCTGGCCAACAACCAATGAGGGCCTGCCAATTAAGCTAAGCGCATCCAATCAGATACATATTTCCAATATCACTCACTGAACACGTCCATACCATTTTAAATCAGATGGCAGGCCTGAATTGTTAGATACTACTGCATTGTTGGAGCTAGGAACACAAGCATTTCGCTACACCCGCAATAACATCTGCTAAGTATGTGTATGTGACCAATAAAATTTGATTTGAGATGTGCATAATAACATGCTGCTTATCCCTCAAACACTACAGTCACGACGTCTGATCTGTGGGAATGCCACTTACAGTGCATCCAGAAAGTATTAATACCCCTTGACACACACACCATTTTTCTTATAAATTTGCAAGAATATCTAAACATGAGAAATCTATTTAATGCCATTTTAATTCAGGCTGTAACAACAAAATGTGGAATAAGTCAAGAGGTATGAATACTTTCTGAAGGCACTGTATCTAGAACCTGCTTGATAACCTACATTTCCAACTTGGCTTTGCTATTAGGTTGAAAGACAAGTCATGAGTTTCATTTAGCATGCGTCATGACTCCATTCATCTTTGCTTGTGAAGTCATACAAATCAGACAGGAGCATTCTAGGTGTATATGGTCGGAAAGAAAATAAAACGAAATTGAATCACACACACACACACACACTTAATACCAAGCTACAATTTAACAAACCTCTGCTATAACAATGCAACAATGTCATACCAAATAGAGAATGACATTAGAATGCTGCTGGGTTTTTCATGCTCAACAGTTTCCCACGTGTATCAACAATGGTCTGCCACCCAAAGGACATCCAGCCAACTTGACACATGTGGGAAGCTTTGGAGTTCACATGGGCCAGCATCCCTGAAACGCTTTTGACACCTTGTAGAGTCCATGGGGGATGCAACTCAATATTAGGAAGGTGATCTTAATGTTTTGTACACAGTATATGTGATGTGAAGGCAGGTTTGGCTTACCATGCCAATACTGCTACTCTGTGGTCAATCGGGGCATTGTCAAAATCCTAATTCACACAATGATCAACACAATAAAGGGGTTTAAAAGAAAGAATGTCTAATTTTGCAGATCTTGAATTTCCCTATGGAAGCTGTCAAAATGCAATAAAATAACTTTTCAATCACAAGTCAATGTTTTGTGTATTAAATCCTCAGCAAAAGAGGCTATGGCGTGTCATTCTGTAGTTGTGCTGTGTGAGAGGGAAAGGAACACCAGAACAGCTAAAAGGAACGGGTGGCCGTGGTCTGTTAATCACCTGCTAGGTGTTGATGAACGGCAGTGATTCAACATGTAGAATTGATTGACAATATTCTGGTCAGAGGCAACAGAATGGCCACGCGCTGCTTCTAAGTACACTTGGCCGTCAGCTGCTCTGGTGTGTTTTGTCTCTGAAACATCTGCGAATGAAAAGCGTACTGGGAGCAGAACATCTGTTCACTGTTGTGGTGAAACCTTTGGACAAGTAAAATAGAGACCGTGAAAGGTTTTAAATTAATTTATATAAAATAAAAAAAAGCATTTATCCACTGAAGCAGAACAAATATCCATCACTTGTATTTTCTTTAGTTTGGAACATATACAATCTGAAGACAGACTCGTCAGGTTGCCGGAACATAATAAAATAATCAAGCAAAGGGTCTGTCCACACCACAAAGTCACCACAGCCAAGGATAACAAGGGAGAAAGAAAACAAAAAAGGAGGGAAAAAAACGAACATTTTACCAAGTGCAGCTCTGGTCTGGTTTTAAGCAGCTCTTTTCTTCTGTTAAATGTACAGTTAAAGCTAGAATCCTTAGTTGCTACATCCATTTTTTGACTTTTAAATGAATGATATATACCCATCGATTCTTGAATAATAACTTAATGTCTCATGAGCTTAGTTCAACTCTCGTACCCCATCAGAATCCAGAATATAAACTTGTTCTACGGCCAATGTTTGTAAACAATGTAAATGTAAAGCACAGTATAGCTTCAAAACATGGTTAAAACCATAATTTTGATATCATGGATGGTCAGTCCTTGCATCCATAGCTCAGTCTGAATTTGAGAGTGGTTCCATTTATCCAGGCCCATCCCTCAGCTTCTTACCAAAAACAGAGGCAGGGTGGCCCACTTTGTTATTGTTTCAACTAAGGACTCAAGCGTTAACGGCTCAGGTACTTTTCTCTAGTCTGTTACATGCAAGCTCAACGAGGAGGCATCTGATAAACTACACATGGAATTAATATGTTTATATCTTACTGGTTATCTGTGCAAGTGTAACAAAGCAAATTGATTTGGATATGACAGAACGTGATTTGGATATGATTTGACAGGAAAAAAAACACTCCATTGATAGAATTGCAAAAAGAAACTACACTTAGTTTCACTGAACAGAAAAGAAGTTCCACATACAAACAGCGAGACTTTTGAAGTTCACGTGGATTGATTGAAATGTCATTGACCCCACTGCTGTATGCTTTCTTTATTTAAAATTAATGTTTTACTTTTGTACCTATATAAATGAAAATGCATACAAAACAGATCCAACGGTCCACATATGAACAACCAAATACTGCTTATCTACTTACAGCAGCAATAAGGGTAGGTCAGTATATGAAAGGCTAGCTGCCAAAGGTCCAGGAATTGGCTCAGAGTGTTTTGATCCCTTTTGCTGAATGCACTCGTTGACATGTCACGTTTGCGTCAAATGCTTCTCATGCTGCTAGTTGGTCACTTCGTCCAGTCGTCTCATGGGTCCGTTGAGTGGTGCCCTTGGCCGTGGCCCCCAATCTGCACTGAGGTAGTTGAGACAGAGGTGCCGCGCGACCACCGGGCTAACATGGGCCTCATTCAGACCGCTCGCTGCAGGTGGTCAAAGTTCAGCTCATCATGTTGAAGGTTAATTGTTGTTAAGGCTTCCTGTGGTCTTGGGAGTAGTCGTCATCCTCCTCCTCCTCCTCCTCCTCCTCAGTGGCGATGTCTCACAGGGGTACCTTTAAATTACAGTTCTTCCTTGTCCTAGTTGTCCTTTTTCAATCTCAACTCATTTTCTTTTCAGTCTTTTCTTTTTAAAGGGGTGGTCATATTTTCCAATCCTCTACAATGGTTAAACCCAAACTGAAAATCTTCTCCTTTTGGCACCTTGGGAGTCAATGGAAGAACGGGGAAATAAAAGGAAGGAAAGGAAAAAACTAGATGGTGGTGTTGTTGGAGAAGACTAGTTGTGGTGGCTGCCTTGGTCACCGGCTGCCAACGAGTCACTGTCTGCTGCGAGGGTTGCGGTGGTGGTGGCGCTGTCCCCTTCCTCTGTTTTGATGCGCTTAGCGTTGGGCTGATCGCTGGCCGCCTGGGCTCCGTTCTGTCGTTTGGTCGGGAGAGAAGCAGAAGCTGAAGCGTGAGTGGCCAGCAAGTGGAGAGGACTCGCAACAGCTGTGGCTGAACATATGGAGGAAGATGAGGGGAAAAAAAATAATATTTCAGTGCCGGAATTGATGGAATACTCTGCTAAGTAAGCTAACGGCTTAGAACATATGCAAATAAATTTTAAAAAAACGTACTTTTCCAAACATTGTAGGAAACTCCAGCCAGACATTGTTGATTAATGAAGGCAGATTAACAGAGGGATTCATATGGCCCTTAGAGATACACAAACACACTGCAGAGAGCAGCACTGACAAGTATGCTGCATGAATTCTAGCAAATTAAACAAACAGGGACTACTCAGAGCAGTGGCAGACTAGAGATGGGGTCAGAGCAGTGGCAGACTAGAGATGGGGTCAGAGCAGTGGCAGACTAGAGATGGGGTCAGAGCAGTGGCAGACTAGAGATGGGGTCAGTGCAGTGGCAGACTAGAGATGGGGTCAGAGCAGTGGCAGACTAGAGACGGGGTCAGAGCAGTGGCAGACTAGAGATGGGGTCAGTGCAGTGGCAGACTAGAGATGGGGTCAGAGCAGTGGCAGACTAGAGATGGGGTCAGAGCAGTGGCAGACTAGAGATGGGGTCAGTGCAGTGGCAGACTAGAGATGGGGTCAGTGCAGTGGCAGACTAGAGATGGGGTCAGAGCAGTGGCAGACTAGAGATGGGGTCAGAGCAGTGGCAGACTAGAGATGGGGTCAGAGCAGTGGCAGACTAGAGATGGGGTCAGAGCAGTGGCAGACTAGAGATGGGGTCAGTGCAGTGGCAGACTAGAGATGGGTCAGAGCAGTGGCAGACTAGAGATGGGGTCAGAGCAGTGGCAGACTAGAGATGGGTCAGAGCAGTGGCAGACTAGAGATGGGGTCAGTGCAGTGGCAGACTAGAGATGGGGTCAGAGCAGTGGCAGACTAGAGATGGGGTCAGTGCAGTGGCAGACTAGAGATGGGGTCAGAGCAGTGGCAGACTAGAGATGGGGTCAGAGCAGTGGCAGACTAGAGATGGGGTCAGAGCAGTGGCAGACTAGAGATGGGGTCAGAGCAGTGGCAGACTAGAGATGGGGTCAGAGCAGTGGCAGACTAGAGATGGGGTCAGTGCAGTGGCAGACTAGAGATGGGGTCAGTGCAGTGGCAGACTAGAGATGGGGTCAGAGCAGTGGCAGACTAGAGATGGGGTCAGAGCAGTGGCAGACTAGAGATGGGGTCAGAGCAGTGGCAGACTAGAGATGGGGTCAGAGCAGTGGCAGACTAGAGATGGGGTCAGAGCAGTGGCAGACTAGAGACGGGGTCAGAGCAGTGGCAGACTAGAGATGGGGTCAGAGCAGTGGCAGACTAGAGATGGGGATAAAGTGCTTTGACATGATCCATTTTAATGAGTCACTGTCTCACCTGCAGCGGCCTGCATGGGCATCAGGTGGGTGCCGTTCTGTGTGATGGTCTTTATGGGGAGCTGGTGAAGGCCCAGGGGCGGCTGCTGCTGCACTAAGGTTACCGTCTGTAAGGGCGTGGCCGACTGGGTATTCTGGATGATGCGACTGCCACCGCCTATAGAGGCATGGGTGATGGTTGGAACCGATTCTACTTTTACTAGAGACAAACATAGGAAAAAGGAAGGGTAATGTCAATGACCTCTAATAATACAACTAACACCAAACAGGCACTACAATAACTGATCAACATGACATACATTTCACATTTACTAAGAAAACGTATATATACAGTGCTGTGAAAAAGTATTTGCCCCCTTTCAAATTTTCTCTACTTTTGCATATTTGTGATACTGAATGTTATCAGATCTTCAACCAAGCATGAACTACTCGTTTCAAGTCCTGCCACAACATCTCAATTGGGATTAGGTCTGGACTTTGACTAGGCCATTCCAAAACTTCCATCACACCACCACCACTATGCTTGACCTTTGGTATGACGTTCTTACTGTGGAATGCAGAGTTTGGTTTTCGGCAGACATTACTGAAACCATGTCGTCCAAAAGTCTGTCCATAGAACGTTCTTCCAAGAGTCTTGATGATCATCCAGGTGCTTTTTGGCAAACTTGAGTCAACTTTTTGGACGAGATGGGTCCCATTATGTCTGGCGAAAACCAAACTCTACATTCCACAGTAAGACCATCATACCAAAGGTCAAGCATGGTGGTGGTGGTGTGATGGTTTGGGGATGCTTTGCTGCCTCAGGACCTGGACGACTTGCCTTAATAGAAGGAACCATGAATTCTGCTCTGTATCAGAGAATTCTACAGGAGAATGTCAGACCATCCGTCTGTGAGCTGAAGCTGAAGCGCAGCTGGGTCATGCAGCAAGACAGTGATCCAAAACACACAATCAAGTCTACATGAAAATTGCTAAAAAGCAACAAATTGGAAGTTTTGGAATGGCCTAGTCAAAGTCCAGGACCTAATCCTAATTGAGATGTTGTGGCAGGACTTGAAACGAGCAGTTCATGCTTGAAAACAGCGATGTGAGAGACTGATCAACAACTACAGGAAGCATTTGGTTGGAGTCATTGCAGCTAAAGGTGGCACAACCAGTTATTGAGTGTAAGGGGGCAATTACTTTTTCACACAGGGGAATTGGGTGTTGCATAACTTTGTTTATGAAATAAATATGTAATTGTTGTGTTATTTGTTCACTTATGTTCCCTTTATCTAATATTAGGTTTTGGTTGAAGATCTGATAACATTCAGTATCACAAATATGCAAAAGTAGAGAAAATTAGAAAGGGGGCAAATACTTTTTCACAGCACTGTAGGTGCATTGCTCAAGGGTAAAACCTATGTAAACCTGGCTAAAACCACTACTACCTTGAGTCAACACAATCTGTCCATCTACACACTACATCATCCTTCTTCCCTGCCCTCACCTTTGGCCTCTGAGTAGTCTCCGTTCTCCTGGGGCTCAGTCTTGAGGGTGACCATGGCGGACTGGGTGACCATGGCGGGGGTGGCCACTGTGTAGGTGTTGGCGGCACTGAGCCCGGCCACACTGGTGACAGACATGGCAGGGATCTGGTGGACGACGTGCACCGTCTGCATGACGGGCTGCTGGTTCTGGTTGGTGCTGGTAGTCACAGGTGTGGCAACGGCGTAGGTCACCGGCTTTATCGTCTGAGGTAACTGACGCTGAACCGTGATGAGCACCGGCTGGCTGTTGAGAGGGGAGCCTGGACAAACAATAGCTTTCTTTAATGGAGGATCCACACGTGACGACTGCACATTTGTACATAGGATTGGAGAAGACTCAAACAATGTGGTTATTGGACAAAAATGGGCGTCTCTCACCTGGTGCACTCTGTGCAAAGCGGGCCTCCTGGATGACAGCTAGTTTGGGCTGGACTGCTGTGGCAGGGGGCGGGGCCGGAGCAGGCTCTGGTTCCATGGGGACAGGGGAACCCTCTCGGGATAGGCTGTCAGGGGTCTGCACCCCACTCGAGTGGGCCGAGAGGACTCCAGAGTGATTAGGGGAGACTGGGGCACTCCTGTGAGAGGGAAAAGCAGATTGGTTTTAAAAATGCTCAGAGCCCTGGATTTACATATGCATTGAAATTGATCACATTTCACGCCAGAGCACCGTGGTCGCTCAACCATGGTTACTCAACCTATTCACATTTTCCCAATGGGAATATACTGTATGAACATGTATGCACTCACTAACTGTAAGTCGCTCTGGACAAGAGCGTCTGCTAAATGACTAAAATGTCAAAATGTAAATATTGTAGTGACCATATATGGCCACAAGGCGGTGGCACAAACATGCCAATCTAACAGTAAAGCAGGGGTCTCCAACCTTTTCTATCATGAGAGCTACTTTAAATTATGAAACATATCACAAATTACTATTTTTTCCCTAGCTTCAAATACACTGCATTTTCCCGAATTCAGTTCTCTGTTTTATTTTTCCTGGTTTGGGATTTTTGTTTGAGTGTCTATTAACAGAATGCTAACAACATTTACACAAGTAATAGCGAATTACCATGGAGGCAGCTAACTAAATACACTAATGAGCGCAAATGAATATAAACTAATTGCAAAGACAGGCAATCCAGCTCATAAGTTATACATATATAGGTAGGAGCTACCGAATGTCATTTTTGACGAGTTTGGACATTTACAAGCAAATGTGAACGAGAGACATTGTGCAAATGAACAAAGTTTTGATGCGTGCTTGTCTGAAGGAAGAACAGTACTGGCTCTGGAGCAGCATGTGTACATGCTGTGTCTGTGTGGAGTCTGGAGTCGCTAGGGCAACGGGCCTGGGGAGGAGAAGACGGGGAGAGACCGGAGAGGAGAAAAGGAAATCAAGATAGCGGCATCTGTACAAATAACTCATCCAAAGGGCTTTGACTTCTCAAACACGGCAGAAAGCTAACACAATAGGATGCCCCGTCACCTTATTAATTCAGCCACTTACTTAGATAACTAGCAAGTTAAACTTAGGGGTCGCTTTACGCGGGAAAAAAAGATAGAACACAATAATTATCTTGCTGCGTTTTGTAAACACAGGTGTAAAATGCTTCTTATTGTAATTTCTGCTCTGCATCAGATTTTGTGCTTCAGTTGCACTCCACTCGGATGAGAATTCACGAACAGGCTTTCTTTCAGCAGACAGCACTCTGACTGATGTGGAGCTACTTTTCTCCGGTACTTTTTAGTGTAGCCTACTTTTCTCCAGTAAAATGCAAGATTAACTTTAAGTATAACATTAGGAAATGTAGCTGACTACATTCTTTCTATGATAAACATAAAAAATATGATGGCCATGCATCGTTTTTGCAAAAAAGACCTTGCTTTTCCATTGTAAGCTCATTTGCTTGCCAAATAGCGTTGCACTTCTGTTGTCATATGATGAAAATGAAGCTGTTTTCTGCAGAACGTGTTGCACTAATGTATTTTCTGTGAAGGAAAACTATAGTTGCACGTCCCTGATCACTCTATTGAAGCAAAAAAACACGACTTTCAATATAAAACACAACACCTGTCAATACACAGCTGGACTCAACTGCTCACGCGCTCTCCCGTTGTGCTATTTACAAACAAACATGACTGGCTCAAGTGTTTTTCTGTTTCTGAGCGTCGACGAGGATGGCGGCCTCACGACTAGCTCTTAGGAAACTTAGCGGTATTTTGTTTTTTATGTATTATTTTTTACATTATTACAAGCATTTCGCTACACCCGCAATAACATCTGCTAAACACGTGTATGTGACAAATAAATGTTGATTGATTTGTTCTGGGAACTACGGTAAGCTTCATAATGTTGAATAATGTGACAGGTGAAATTAAGAACGCGATTTGCTTTATCTCCTAACATATTGCACAAGCTGACTGCAGGTGTTTACTTAAAAAGTAACGACAAATATAAAAATGTATTGAAAAACTTCAAATAGTTTAAATGATATTGACGGTATTGAAAAACCATCCTGTAGCTATTTCCAAATATCCCGGTATACAGTATGCCACCCAAGCCTACTGTATACCCAGAAGACAGTTATCATTATCTCTAACTGGCTACACAAAGTGAATGGAAGAGAACCACGTGCACCACACAGAAATCCAGGGGCAATATTGCTGGTACATATTGTGTTAGATTTGGCCAATTGTGGTTAACTAGGAATGGGATAATGTCAATGTGGATTTGATTGGATAGGAGCTTGAGGTGTCTGATACTTGTGAGATTCGTTTAAGCCAATTTGCGGTGGAACACGTAAAATACATGCACTTTGAGAATGGTTTGGTGAGCTACTCATAGATTGGCTGTGAGCTACTGGTAGCTCGGGATCGACCCGATGGAGACCCCTGCAGTAAAGCATGCAGCGAGCTCATCGTGTGACTGAAACCTGAGAGAGTAAGTAGGTCCATACCTGGAGGAGAGGGGTCCGAGGGGGGTCCTGAAGCAGGGCACACCCCGCGGCCTTCGTTTCCTGAAGGCCTGCTCCATGAGCTTGCCCTCTGAGGACGGGTCTATCCTCCAGAACGAGCCCTTTCCCGGTTCCTCCTGCGATCTGGCCACTTTAATAAAGTAGCGGTTCAGAGACAGATTGTGACGGATCGAGTTCTACAACAGAATACGCCGTCGTGTTAGTATGAACACACTGCAGCCAAGGCTGTTATTCACATCACAGTTCATCAATGGCACATGCTCAAAAACAACATGGAAACAGATGGGAGAAGTCATGTACCGCCCTTCAGTTTGAAGCCAAAGTGAATGTGTACTTGAACAAGGTTGCGTATTAGTCAAAGCACATCTTAATATACAGTGCCTTCAGAAAGTATTCATATTGTTGTGTTACAGCCTGAATTCAAAATCAATTAAATAGATTATCTCACCCATCTACACACAATAATGACGAAGTCAAAATCTGTTTTTAGAAATGTTTGCTAATTGATTGAAAATTAAACTGAAATCTCATTTACATAAGTATTCACACCCCCCGAGTCAATACTTTGTAGAAGCACCTTTGGCAGCGATTACAGCTGTGAGTCTTTCTGGGTAAGTCTCTAAGAGCTTTGCACACCTGGATTGTGCAAAATTTAGATTTAGATCTGGGACACCAGGTGTGTGCAATTAATTATCAGGTAGAACTGAAAACCAGCAGGCTCTGGACCTCGAAGCATAATAGTTGAGTACCCCTGCTTTAGGATTTTGCCTGTGTTTAGCTCCATTACGTTTCTTTTTTATCCTGAAAAATCTCCCCAGTCCTTAACGATTACAAGCATAGCCATAACATGATGCAGCCACCACTATTCTTGAAAATATGGAGAATGGTACTCAGTAATGTGTTGTATTGGATTTGCCCCAAACATAACACTGTATTCATGACAAAAAGTTCATTGCTTTGCCAAGTAGTGCCTTGTTGCAAACAGGATGCATGTTTTGGTATATTTTTATTCTGTACAGACACTTCTTTTCACTCTGTCAATTAAGTTAGTATGGTGGGTAACTACAATGTTGTTGAGCCATCCTCAATTCTCTCACAGCCATTAAACTATGTACCTGTTTTAAAGTCACCACTGGCCTTATGGTGAAATCCCTGAGCGGACGCCTGTATCTTTGTAATGACTGGGTGTATTGATACACCATCCAAAGTGTAATAACTTCACCATGCTCAAAGGGATATTCAATGTCTGTTTTTTTTCATCTACCAATAGGTGCTCTTCTTGGCGAGGCATTGGAAACCCTCCCTGGTCTTTGTGGTTGAATCTGTGTTTGAAATTCACTGCTCGACTGAGGGACTTTACAGATAATTGTATATGTGGGGTACAGAGATGAGGCAGTCATGCAAAAATCATGTTAAACACTATTATTGCACACAGAGTGAGTCCATTCAACTTATGTGACTTGTTAAGCACATTTTTACTCCTGAACTTATTTAGGCTTGCCATAACAAAGGGGTTGAATACTTATTGACCCAAGACATTCCAGCTTTTCATTTTTAATGAATTTGTAAAAAAAATTCTACAAACATAATTCCACTTTGACATTATGGGGTATTGTGTGTAGGCCAGTGACACACACACAAAAAAATCACAATTTAATCAATTTTAAATTCACGCTGTAACACAACTGTGGAAAGAATCAAGGGGTGTGAATACTTTCTGAAGGCTCTGTAATGCTCCCTTGGCTATGACAACTATGCTCTGTGGTTTTTGAGATATTTCAAATATAACAATGTGGTTGAATCCTAATGCTATTCAAGACAGTTTTTGATCTTTTCATAACATACAAAGAATTTCAGTAAAAATGGTGCATTGAAAGATGCCATTTCTCACCTGCCAGCCTTTGTCTGCAGTCCTATAGTAGGGGTAGTTTTTGGTGATGTGAGTGTATATTCCGTTTAGTGTGAGCTGCTTGTCCTGTGCCATTGTAATGGCTTGGACTATCAGTTGTGCATATGAGTATGGAGGTTTGGAATCATCCTAAAGGGAAGAAGAAGAGGAAGGAAGAAACGGCATGTAATTTACTAGGTAGCACAGTTCCATTTTGTGAGCAATGGCGCTGGAGGGAATAGCAGCCATTTTACGAGCTCCTGGCCAATTATGCTATTTTGTGTACATTCTTGCGTTGATCTTAACTTTTTTTGCACATAATGTTTACCCCCTCATTTCCTATGACCAAAAAGAGCTTCTGGAAACCAGAACAGCTATCACCAACCTCGATTTGGATGAGGACTTCTACTTCGGAGGCAAAGGCCATATTGACTATCCCAGACCAGGCCCAAATCCCCGACACTTGGAGAAGAAGGAGGTGGCGCGATTGGCGAACGTGCAATCACTGGAGAATAAACTGGACAAGCTCCGTTTGAGACTATCCCATCAACGTGATCTGAAGAACTGTAATATCCTATGTTTCTCTGAGTCGTGGCTGAACAAGGAAAATATAAATCTAGCTGTTTTTTCTGGACAGAATGTCAGTGTTAGGGAAGCTCAGGGGAGGGGGTGTGTGTCTCTTCGAGGTTGTACTCGCCTGAGTTAGAATACCTTATGATAAGCTGTAGACCATACTATTTACCAAGAGAGTTTTCATTATATTTTTTAGTAGATGTTCATTTACCACCATAAACCGATGCTGGCAATAAGACTGCACTCAGCGAGCTGTATTGGGCCATAAGCGAACAAGAAAATGCTCTCCCAGAGGTGGTCCTCCTAGTGGCCGTGATTTTAACGCAGGAAAACTGAAATCTGTTTTACCTAATTTCTACCAGTATGTCACCTGTGCAACTAGAGGCAAAAAAAAACTCTAGATCACCTTTACTCCACACACAGAGATGCATACAAATCTCTCCCTCCATTTAGCAAATCTGACCATAACTCTATCCTCTTGATTCCTGCTTACAAGCAAAAACTAAAACAGAAAGTACCAGTGACGCACGCACTCAATACGGAAGTGGTCCGATGAAGCGGATGCCAAGCTACAGGACTGTTTTTCTAGCACAGACTGGAATATGTTCCGGGATTCATCCGATGGCAGTCACTGGCTTCATTAATAAGTGCATTGATGATGTCCCCACAGTGACCGTACGTATATATCCCAACCAGAAGCCATGGATTACAGGAAACATCCGCACTGAGCTAAAGGCTAGAGCTGCTGCTTTCAGGGAGCGGGACACTAACCGGAACGCTTATAAGAAATCTCACTACACCCTCCGACGAACCATCAAACAGGCAAAGCATCAATACAGGACTAAGATCGAATCCTACTACACCGGCTCTGACGCACGTCGGATGTGGCAGGGCTTGCAAACTATCACAGATTACAAAGGGAAACCCAGCCACGAGCTGCCCACTGATATGAGCCTACCAGACGAGCTAAATGCCTTCTATGCTCACTTTGAGGCAAGAAACACTGAACCATGCGTGAGAGCACCAGCTGTTCCGAACGACTGTGTGATCACACTTTCCATAGCCGATGTGAGTAAGACCTTTAAACAGGTAAACATTCACAAGGCAGCAGGGCCAGGCGGATTACCAGGACGCATCCTCAGAGCATGTGTTGACCAGCAGGAAAGGGTCTTTACTGACCCAGTCTGTTATACCTACATGTTTCAAGCAGACCACCATGGTCCCTGTGCCCAAGAATGCCAAGGTAACCTGTTTAAATTACGATCGCCCTGTAGCACTCACATCTGTAGCCATGAAATGCTTTGAAAGACTGGTCATGGCTAACAACACCATCATCCCAGACACTCTAGACCCACTCCAATTCACATACCACCCCAACAGATCCACATCCTCTATTGCACTCCACACTGCCCTTTCCCACATGGACAAAAGGAACACCTACATGAGAATGTGTTCATTGACTACAGCTCAGCGTTCAACACCATAGTGCCCTCAAAGCTCATCACTAAGCTAAGGTCCCTGGGAACTGAACACCTCCCTCTGCAACTGGATCTGGACTTCCCGATGGCCTGCCCCCAGGTGGTGAAGGTAGGCAACAACACATCCGCCATGCTGACCCTTCAACACTGGGGCCCCTCAGGAGTGCGTGCTTAGTCCCCTCCTGTACTAGTCCCCTCACCCACGACTGCGTGGTTGCGCACAACTCCAACACCATCAATAAGTTTGCCGACAAAATAACGGTGGTAGGCCTGATCACCGATGACAACAAGACAGCCTATAGGGAGGAGGTCAGAGACCTGGCAGTGTGGTTCCAGGACAACAACAACCTCTCCCTCAACGTCTGTAAGACAAATGAGCTGATTGTGGACTACAGGAAACGGAGGGCCGAGCACGCCCCCATTCACGTCGACAGTGCTGTAGTGGAGCGGGTCGAGAGGTTCAAATTCCTCTGTGTCCACATCACTAAGGATCTATCATGGTCCAAACACACCAACAGTCGAGAAGAGGGTACAACAACGCCTCTTCCCCCTCAGGAAGCTGAAAAGATTTGGCATGGGCCCTCAGATCCTCCAAACGTTCTACAGCTGCTCCATCGAGAGCATCTTGACTCGCTTGGTATGGCAAATGCTTGGCATCCGACCGCAAGGCGCTTCAGAGGGTAGTGCGTACGGCCCAGTACATCGCTGGGGCCGAGCTCCCTGCCATCCAGGGCCTCTATACCAGGCGGAGTCAGAGGAAGGCCCAAAACATTGTTCAAGACACCAGCCACCCAAGCCAGACTGTTCTCTCTGCTACCGCATGGCAAGTGGTACCAATGCACCAAGTCTGAAATCAACAGGACCCCGAACCCCTTCTACCCCCAAGCCATAAGATATCTAAACAAGACTGCTAAATAGCTAATCAAATGGCTACCCGGACTACCTGCATTGACCCTTTTTTTACACATACGCTGCTGCTAACATTTAACATTTTAGTAATTTAGTAGACGCTCTTATCCAGAGCGACTTACAGTTAATGAGTGCATACATTTTCATACTGGCCCCCCGTGGGAAACGAACCCACAACCTTGGCGTTGCAAGCGCCATGCTCTACCAACTGAGCTACTGTCCATCCTGTTGCCTAGTCACTTTACCCCTAACTATATGTACAGTACATAGCTACCTCAATAACCTCGTACCCCTGCACGTCGACTCAGTACGGGTACTCCCTATATATAGCCATGTTATTTTTACTCATTTCTATTTGTTATTCACTGTGTATTTATTCATTGTGACACTATTTCAATTTTGTATATACATTTTTTATCTAATCTTTAACTCTGCAATGTTGGAAAATAATGTGTAAGTAAGCATTTCAGTTAGTCTACACTTGTTGTCTATGAAGTATGTGACAAATTAAATTTGATAACAACAAATCATGGGTTTGTTTTGTCACATGCATCAGTTCAAATGACAAAACAGACAGACAGACCTACCTTTCCTCTCCAATTAATTTAAGTGTGCACTTATTTAAAGGGAAATCTTCAGTTGCTACCTCCATTTAAATAAATGATATGTACCCATTGATTCTTGAAGAATATAACTTCCTAAATGCCTCATGAGCTCAGTTCAACTGTCGTATCCCATCCGAACCCAAATAAGCTTGTTTTACTCCAATGTTTGTAAACAAAGTAGTGCTGAGCGATTAACCGAAATGTCAGATATGTTTTGGTTTTTTAAAACAACTAATTGACCAATAGAGATAAATCAGATCTAGCCCAAACTGTTATGATAGTAGACAGTTGTAGTTTCCAACAGGCCAATATTCTACATAGTTTAGCGCAGAAAACGTGGTAATTAACCAACATGACCATATTCCATTTTGCGCCTACTTGTCCGGTCTGTGTGGGCGCACTGAGAGGGAGAGAAGCGACAGAAGATGCGCGATCGAGAGGGATAGAGAGCAGTAGCTTCGGGAGGCATCTCTACCTGAAAATACATTATCTAAGTGATTGATAGTTGGTATTCAGCAGTCATAAAAGTATGTCTTATTTACTTTGAAGAACTACTAAAACAGTGATTTTGTCAGACAGCAGGCAGCAGCTCTATAGAGATGAGATGATGACTTGGAATGAAATAATAAAGTCATCTAATAAAACAAAATGTAATATACACAATTTAAATATTTTAAAGTAAATTGTAATGTAAATAAATTATGGTTAATAAGTGATAAGCAGTAATGGGCAGTCACTAACCATCCTGGGACTTTTGTTATTTGTTTTATTCTGTGTTTTTACAGCATTCAATCCACATAATGTATAGCGCATTTAATGACAAAAATTAAATAATCGAAACCGAAAAATGTGATTTTTTAAACTTTTATAATCGAACCAAAACCGAACCAACCCCAAAAAGCACTAATCGCTCAGCACTAAAACAAAGTAAATGTAAACAAACACTGTAAACCCTCATAACATTTGGATATCATGGTTGGTCAATTCTTGCATCCATAGCTGTCTATGAATTTGAGAGTGGTTACATTTCTCCAGCCCCATCCCTCAGCTTTTTACCATAAACATTGGGTGGGGATAACACAGTGGTTGTCCCACTGGCTATCATAAGTTGAATGCACCAATTTGTAAGTTGCTCTGGATAAGAGCGTCTGCTAAATGATGTAAATGTAAATGTTAGGGTTTCAACTGCTGATTGCCACTAAATTGAAAAGGCCAGTTTCGCAGAAACAGATGAATTTAAGCCTAGTCTTAGACTAAAAGCATGTTCAATGCAGATTCTCTGTAGGTGGTGCTCACCTTGGGGCTGTCCCCTCCTGAGGCCTCCTTGTCGTTCTCTGACTGGGAGTTGTCGTTTATGAGCTGTAGCTCTGCAGAGCTGACGATGCGACCCATCCTGTAGCCGGACAAGCCCGCTCCCCTGGGACTGGAGGGGCACGAGTTGGCAGCACTATTGGGAAGAAGAGGGCCAGACCGTTAGTCAGTCACCAAGTCTCTGTCAGCATGATGACCACCACAGTACATATCAAATGATCTGACCAAGAGTAATGCAATAGGCATTACATTAGACTAGCTCTACATGGCTGTCAGGGCATGGAAAACGGTGGGGAAATGACATAGGAATGGGTGAGTGGAAATAAAAATCAAAACAGTACAAAATGGAAATCTTATTCTTGCCAAATGCAACACTTTTAGGCTACAAACAAAACTGCCTAATTGATCCACTGATGACCTCAGTTCCTTTTGAGAAATTAAGCAATGGTTTACAATTAGCCAAGCTATTCTGAGGAAGAGGGGGCCCCTGTAAAATAAATATCTTGGCTCAGCTTATCTGTACCCTTTACTGCAGTAGCCTGCAGTCTGCAGTCAGGCTGGCACACGCCACCTATTTTTATAGCCTCACATTATCTAACCCATATTGAAAAGAGAGCAAAATCGTTTCATGAGGCATTAAGTTGAGACTTAAAACAGCGGAAAACGTTTAATGATTTGTCATTAGCTGAAGCAAACATGAATAATCTGGAGATAAACACTGATGGGCTAGAATCAAATGAAAACATCAATATTATTTTTCCATTCTTACATTTACATTTTAGTCATTTAACTTACCTTTTTTTTTTAATGTTTATACTGGCCCCCTGTGGGAAACGAACCCACAACCCTGGCGTTGCAAATGCCATGCTCTACCAACTGAGCTACACGGGGCCTACATACTACTACACGGGGCCTATTCTTCAACGTTCCATCATCGGTGCAATGTGCCGTAGCTGATTGGCAGATGTGCTAGTAGGAATTAATGGATGGACACAGCAGAAGCTATTAGGGATGTGACAAATGGGGGGAAAAGTTCTTAATGTTTAAACAGCAAATACCATCGGTTTTCCATTCAAACAATAGGAAAAATATATAGAATTCCATGTGAATTCACAATTCAGCTGCAAGCAACGGTTTCAGATGGTTAAGCATTGCACCTGTACTACCATTACCGTACCTCAATTCCACCTCGCAAAATGTGCATTTCCTTCTCATTTAACTTCTCAAAGCATTGCCATACAGAACTTCACTGCTGTCGCCATTTTTCCCAACTGTTAACGACGATGATGCTGTGGTGGAGAGTTGATGCCAAAATAATTAACTCAAACTTGCGCGTCAACTCCCCATTTCTGGAGTGTTAAGATTAGATTCCGCTAGGAATTTTGGAATGGAGGAGACTGATTACAGTGCTCTACGCCAACTTTTTTTATTTATTGAATTTTTTACAAGAAGCACGTATGTGCCTAAATTGAAAGATGTAGGCGCACACAAATACATTTGAGATATTAATGTTAGAATGCTTAAAATGTTCTAGGCGCACTGGTGCTCCCTAAATAAAAATGTCCAGGTCGCACAGACAAATATTTAAGCGCATACACGAGTAAAATAGTCGCACTGTAGAGCCCTGGATTAGTTACCGTACTTCCGAGAACACAAACACTCACATATTTCATAGCGAGCTAGCGAGGGACTGAGAGAGAGGGGAGGGGCACAGTATAGGCAAGTCGGCCACCAGGCCTATCAGCAATTAAAAGCTGCATCTCGCAATGGAATGCTTCATCACGCAATTTCTTGGCTTGCAATGTCTCGCAACTTCAGTAACGCAGGGCCTATCATCAATGAATAGGCCAGGATATTAAGATGAGTGGCATGCACTTCGCTCTCACACAATATCTGCACGGGTTCGTGTCACGCTGTTCACAGCGTGGTTGCCAGAGCACCAAAACAGCGGAGAAGTTGAGCCTTAAACCACTATGTGGTTTACTTTCTGCATCCAAGTCATATCGCCGAGTCTACCTTTACAGCCTATCGTCTAGTTAGGCTATAACACAGAAAATAATGTTGTGATAACTGCACTGTGAATGTAAAAAAAATTATAACGTTAAGGATCCCAATTACGTTGAACCATTCACACCACTAGAAGCCAGTGTTCAATTTAGTCAACAATAACTATAACGAAAAATACTAATCAACAACCTATTTTTCCTGTCTAAGACTATTATGATAACGAGATGCACTGGAAAAAAACAAACTATTACAATTTACTTTTCATTTTAGTCAACGAAAATGTGACGAGAGGAGAATTCCACGTGAGACTAATGGACATTTAATTTGATTTTAGCTCCTTTTCAACTGTTTTGTCCAATCCTAAGCACGCATGCGTGCAGAATATTTCATGCAACCCTCTCATTACATATTTGAGCTGCACGGTCTGATTGAGCTGATCTGCCAGGCTCTCCCACACAGTTCCCAGGTGGTCACTTCAGTCACTATTCAATCTTTTAAACTGATGCAAAGCCAGGACACTGGGCTTAGGCGGTATCCAGATTTTCATGTCGTCATACCGTCCTTCTCTCATTCCAAGATTTACGGTATTACTGGCAAGGGGGCGCTACAAACACAAGAAAAGCCAATTGGGCCTCTATTACCAGAATGCTAACAAACTTAGCGCAAACTAATTGCGAAATCACAGACGGTTAGCTAAATGCCATCGGGTAAAAACAAACTAATTACAAAGACAGGCAAATACAGCTCATAAAGTTACACAAGCATAGCTAGCAGCTACCGAATATCATTTTTGGTGAGTGTTGACATTTACAAGCGAAAGTGAACAAGAGAAATTGTGCAAATGAACAAAGTTGTAATGCATGCTTTTCTGAAGGAATAGCAGCATGTGTACATGGACCAGATGGGAGAGAAATGGAGAGAAAAAAACACTAGTAGGAAGCAAAGGGGGGAAAATGGCAGCGTTCAGAACTCATCTAGAGCTCTTTGACTTCTAGCAGAAAGCCATTATAAGATATCTGATGGCAAACATTTTGAAGTGAATTGCATACAAGTAAATTGCGCACAACAGACACTCACCGATATAGAATGCTATGGACTCACCAGCTCGCTTTCTCCAATTGTGCTATTTACAAACTAGTGACTAGCTCAACTGTTCTGGGGAACTATGGTAAGCTTCATAATGTAAAATAATGTGACAGGTGAAATGAAGAACGCAATCTGCTATATCTCCTAACGTATCGCACAAGTTGACTGCAGGTATTAACTTAAAAAGTAGCTACAAATATTAAAATGTACTGAAACTTCAAAAAAATAGGTTTGACGGTATTGAAAAATCATCCCGTAGCTTCTTCCAAATACCCCATTATATGATATATACGGTATACCACCCAAGCCTACAGGACACTTGACTTGTAACTAACCTTTCCTATGGGAAAAAAGTAATGCTATTTGTTGAATATTAGGAGTACAGTAATACTCCTGGCATTGTTGGAAAGCTGAAATTCTCCCCTTATCAAGGAAGGTGCACATGATGGAAGTCTGAGGTAGCCTAAATATTCATTTAATCAAATAAATGCACTGACTATGTGACTAAAATGGCTGTGACTAAAACTAGACAAACTGCCCAGAGTTTTAGTTGACTAATAACTAAAAACAAGGATGAAACGACAAAAAAAAAAATATGACAGACAAAGGTATTAAGACTAAAATAGCTGTCAAAATTAACACTGCTAGAAGCTATGTTTTTTCAGTCAACACGCACATAGCAGCCAAGTAAAGACTGCCAATGGCTACACACAGACTAGGCTTAACACGTACACACAATAAAGCTGTGTTGGACAGATGGTGTAGGTTAGGAGGTGACCTAAGCAACAAGCTGAGCCTGGTTCACAACATCCCCTAGAGTTCAGTAAACTAACCATAAGCCGCCAGGCCAGTATGATCATAGGTTATCTCAAGGTTAGCTGAGGCCCAGGCCTACTGTTCCTCTGTTACTGTACCTGATGGTGCCGGTGGGCGAGGGCAGGGGGCTCATGAGGTGGGCGATGTTGTCTGGAATGTTTATGGTGAGCGGGGAGATCTGGACTGGTTTTACTGGAGACTCGGGCGCCTCGCGCTTCTCCCTCTTCCCATTGGACAGGGCTGTGAATGTGATCTTGATGTTTGTGCTGGGAAACCTGAAAGTGCACCTGCAGAGAAAATAAACAAAAAAGTTTAAAATTCACCTACCACTCAATGTAATGCAACCTTCCAGTCCATGTAGCCTCTATGAGCATCCACACACTAAATGTTCATGTTTTTAAATGTATGTAAATTGTGAAGTCTTTTGTCTGTAATGTATTTTTCGTTGTACACCGCATGACCAAAAGTATGTGGACTCCTGCTTGTCAAACATCTCATTCCAAAATCATGGCCATTAATATAGAGTTGCCCCCCCCCCCCTTTGCTGCTACAACAGCATCCACTCTTCTGGGAAGGCTTTCCACTAGATGTTGGAACATTGCTGCGGGGACTTCCATTCAGCCACAAGAACATTAGTGAGGTCGGGCACTGATGTTGGCCAATTAGGCCTGGCTCGCAGTCGGCGTTCCAATTCATACCAAAGGTGTTCAATGGGATTGTGGCCAGGGCTCTGTGCAGGCCAGTCAAGTTCTTCCACACCGATCTCGACAAACCAATTCTGTATGGACCTCGCTTTGTGCACGGGGCATTGTCCAAACTGTTGCCACAAAGTTGGAAGCACAGAATCGTCTAGAAAGTCATTGTATGCTGTAGCATTAAGATTTCCCTTCACTGGATCTAAGGGGCCTAGCCCAAACCATGAAAAACAGTCCCAGACCACCAAACTTTACAGTTGGCACTATGCATTGGGGCAGGTAGTGTTCTCCTGGCATCCGCCAAACCCAGATTCTTCCGTCGGACTGCCAGATGGTGAAGTGTGATTCATTACTCCAGAGAACGCGTTTCCACTACTCCAGATTCCAATAACGGCGAGCTTTACACCACTCCAGCCGATGCTTGGCATTGCGCATGGTGATCTGAGGCTTGTGTGCAGCTGCTCGGCCATGGAAACCCATTTCATGAAGCTCCCGACAAACAGTTATTGCGCTGACATTGCTTTCAGAGGCAGTTTGGAACTCGGTAGTGAGTGTTACAACCAAAGACAGACGATTTTTACGCGCTCCGCATTTCAGCACTCGGCAGTCCCGTTCTCTGAGCTTGTGTGGCCTACCATTTCGCAGCCGAGCCGTTGTTACTCCGAGACTTTTCCACTTCACAATAACAGCACTTACAGTTGACCGGGGCAGCTCTAGCAGGGCTGAAATTTGACGAGCTGACTTGTTGTAAAGGTGGCATCCTATGACGGTGCCACATTGAAAGTCACTGAGCTCTTCAGTAAGGCCATTCTACTGCCAATGTTGGTCTACGGAGATTGCATGGCTGTGTGCTCGATTTTATACACCTATCAGCAACGGGTTTGGCTGAAATAGTCGAATCCACTCATTTGAAGGGGTGTCCACATACATTTGTATATATAGTGCATGTCGGACCACAGTAATAGTAGCGGTCGCCATTGGCGTCGGCCAACGGGGATCCTAATCAATCAAATCAAGTCCTAACATACCTGCTTTAAACTATTTGTGAGAGTGGAGCAAAGGTACCTCTAGGCATAACATGAACATTAAATGAAAGAAACCGGTATTCAAGGCACCATCAGTAGCCTATATTTTCTATTTTAGCAAAAGTGGGCTAAATTTACTTCAAAGAAAAAAACAATAATAGCAATTTTCTATCATCCACTCAACTGAAATATTTTTAAAATATAATTGGATTGAAATACAATAAAATAAAGTGCAAAAATCTATTAATCAAAAACAACACTTTGTTTAAGGAGAAGTAACATGCAGTGAAAACAAATATTAAACTTTAACTTTTAAACTTGAACTGAGTAAAAACTCTAAATATGTGATTGCACAGTAATGTTCACTTGTTTGAGGTTGAGGGTGATACTTGGTGGTGTCCCATCTTTTCCACAAGTTCATCAATGTTCGGGGTAAGGCTCTGAGCTGAGGAAATCCTCAGAATTGAGTGGAGGTGTTCAGCAGTAAGTCGACTTCTGTGTGATGTTTTGTTCAGGTTCATCAAAGAAAACAGTTGTTCACACAGGTATGTGCTGCCAAACATAGACAACGTTTGAGCAGCCTGGATGCGCAGCTGGGGCATTTGTTCCATGTCCATATTCTTGTTTTTGTCCGCGTGTTTCGTTTCATAATGTCGTCTCAGATTATACTCTTTCAGTACCGCCACACTTTCTCCACACAGAAGACACACAGGTTTTCCAGCTACCTCCGTGAACATATACTCCGACTCCCACCTTGTTTGAAACCCCCGGTTCTCAGTGTCCACCTTCCGTTTTGCCATTTTTGATGGGTATCTGAAAGTTAATTTTACTGTGATGCTGACGACTGCTGTGCCAATAAATATTGAAATGAAGCAGCCTACTGCTCGGTGCGTCACCGTTGCATTGTGGGAAATGTAGTATTGGTGCGTGTAAAAGATCTGCGGGCTGCCGGCTTGCTGCGGTCTGCGGGCCGGTTCTAATAATAAATCAAGATCATCCCAGGGGCCGTAAAAAACCTTCTCGCGGGCCGGATGTGGCCCGCGGGCCTTGACTCTGACATATGTGCTCTAGGGGGAACAGGGAGACTCTCGGGGCTCAGGCTAAATATAGGCTCTCACACACACACACACACACACACACACACACACACAGAGAGAACACACACTCTCACTGTGGGGTAAACAACAAGCAGTGTGCATGCCTAGAATGGGGATGTCCATATACAGTGGGGAGAACAAGTATTTGATACACTGCCGATTTTGCAGGTTTTCCTACTTACAAAGCATGTAGAGGTCTGTAATTTTTATCATAGGTACACTTCAAACTGTGAGAGACGGAATCTAAAACAAAAATCCAGAAAATCACATTGTATGATTTTTAAGTAATTAATTTGCATTTTATTGCATGACATAAGTATTTGATACATCAGAAAAGCAGAACTTAATATTTGGTACAGAAACCTTTGTTTGCAATTACAGAGATCATACGTTTCCTGTAGGTCTTGACCAGGTTTGTACACACTGCAGCAGGGATTTTGGTCCACTCCTCCATACAGACCTTCTCCAGATCCTTCAGGTTTCGGGGCTGTCGCTGGGCAATACGGACTTTCAGCTCCCTCCAAAGATTTTCTATTGGGTTCAGGTCTGGAGACTGGCTAGGCCACTCCAGGACCTTGAGATGCTTCTTACGGAGCCACTCCTTAGTTTCCCTGGCTGTGTGTTTCGGGTCGTTGTCATGCTGGAAGACCCAGCCACGACCCATCTTCAATGCTCTTAATGAGGGAAGGAGGTTGTTGGCCAAGATCTCGCGATACATGGCCCCATCCATCCTCCCCTCAATACGGTGCAGTCTTCCTGTCCCCTTTGCAGAAAAGCATCCCCAAAGAATGATGTTTCCACCTCCATGCTTCACGGTTGGGATGGTGTTCTTGGGGTTGTACTCATCCTTCTTCTTCCTCCAAACCCGGCGAGTGGAGTTTAGACCAAAAAGCTCTATTTTTGTCTCATCAGACCACGTGACCTTCTCCCATTCCTCCTCTGGATCATCCAGATGGTCATTGGCAAACTTCAGACGGGCCTGGACATGCGCTGGCTTGAGCAGGGGGACCTTGCGTGCGCTGCAGGATTTTAATCCATGACGGCGTAGTGTGTTACTAATGGTTTTCTTTGAGACTGTGGTCCCAGCTCTCTTCAGGTCATTGACCAGGTCCTGCCGTGTAGTTCTGGGCTGATCCCTCACCTTCCTCATGATCATTGATGCCCCACGAGGTGAGATCTTGCATGGAGCCCCAGACCGAGGGTGATTGACCGTCATCTTGAACTTCTTCCATTTTCTAATAATTGCGCCAACAGTTGTTGCTTTCTCACCAAGCTGCTTGCCTATTGTCCTGTAGCCCATCCCAGCCTTGTGCAGGTCTACAATTTTATCCCTGATGTCCTTACACAGCTCTCTAGTCTTGGCCATTGTGGAGAGGTTGGAGTCTGTTTGATTGAGTGTGTGGACAGGTGTCTTTTATTCAGGTAACGAGTTCAAACAGGTGCAGTTAATACAGGTAATGAGCTGAGGTCAATCAGGCTCCATCATCACACTCCAGAGAGAGACTGAGGCCCAGATTGTTATGCCAGCCCTGCTTCCCTTTGGTCCGGATGCCAGGCGCTGCTGCACTTGTTGCCAAGCCCTGACAGAGCTGGCAAAGAGCACATGCAGAGAGAACAGTGTCCCTGACACCCAAGTCTCAAATTAGTATTGCTACTCAGAGGGTGAAAAACGGCTGGGAGCCAGCCTGGTGAAGGCAGACACTTAAATTATGCATATGCACTCCAACCCTTTCAGGGCCAATGTAATACCCCTGTCAACAAAGAGCATTGGAAACTCCATTATTTGAAATAGGGGGATGTTGATGACCTCATTATGCAGACCACACATAGCTACTAGCTAGTGTCTAGGGGGAAAACATGTTTTTCCAAAACTAGATACCAAGCATGGTAGAGGCATGTCACAATATTCAATAGGCCTAATGATGCCTTTGGGTCATTCCAACTCAAAAAGCACAAGAAAGAGGTTTGACACCCACCATCTCAGATTGTTCTGAAATCGTTTCTGTTGTTAGAAACAGATAAGAATAGCCTTCCTGCAACATAATTTTGTTTAAATATACATTTGATCTCTAAGAAATTAAGCTAATTGATTGCACCCAAATTGGCCATTTTAATTTATAGGATTCATTAAATATTTATTAAATATAGTTCTCCATGTTTGACAAGTAGTATGGAGCTGAGGATCGGAGTATTGTTTCTTCATCCTATGTAATGTATTCTCAGTGAATTTGGTGATGTTCAGAGAAATTAGTCATTGAAGTTGTTGGGTTTATGTCCCATCCTACATCCTGATATTACCAGATTCTGACCACTGATTGTGCTGTTCCTGCTATTGGGGGAAATCACCTAATAGCAGGAACAGCACCATCAACATTGTGCTCAGCAGCACAGTCGCATGGCAACCACCAGGGCGTCTTTGATACAGGAATGCTGAGCTCTGAAATGTCACATTCCTCACAGTGCTGCATGTGACTACAAAGGCAACACACATTGCTTTTACAACCTTGGGTTTGTGTGTGTGTTGGGGGCTCACTGATCCTCAGTCAGTCAGGCACAGATGCATACAAACAGCAAACAGAATTCCTTTTGCCACCCAACCCTCACACACTACTACCTGGGGTACAGAGAATTCCATTAGACCACAAAACCCACCCCCCTACCAGACAATTCATGTTATTATATAGTCTACCATCTGCTTCAATTACATCATACTTAAAATGTTTTCAACAACAAAAGAAGATTGGTTAAGCGGATAAGCTTGAATGGAAAGCCCAAGTCATTTTGCAAAGAGCTGAGTTTTCCCACAGCCTCACTGCATTTTAACATTGAGGCTCCTAGCCAATTTCCCTATTTTCTCAATGAGACCAAACATTTTCTAAAAGCAAATGCACAGTTGCTATGTTATGCCAGGAGGTAGAACACAATTGAGCTTAAACTGATACAAAAGTAACCAAGCTCAGGGCAGCAGAGACAAGAAGACTTCTCTATTCTTTTCACTTTTTTGACCAAGATCATTATCCCGGCAGATTATCCTCAAAACACACAAAATCCCTATAAGACAAAACAATGAGCATCAAACTAATACATCTGCTTTCCACAGATTTAGTTAGGATGTAAACAGTCAAGAAGGCCAGGGAGTAATTATGTAGGCGTGGGAGAGCAACAACATGGAGGGCTGGGCAGCATTGACTGTTTCATTCTGGCAACTTCCGTCATTCAGTTGGAATCCAGGGGACATAAAGAAGCCCAGGCCAGAGCTCTCCAAGCCAAGACTGTCTGTCCACTTCCCTGATCATGCTTTGCCTCAGGTTGGGTGGGCTACTATAGTCATCATACCCATAATGCACAATTCCAAAATAAGGATATCACAACAAGGTTTTCTTGAAGCAGTAGATGTGAGCGTATAAAACACACCCCTGATTAAAAGCTCTTTAGTTACGTCAACCTGATCGATGAGGGAATTTGAGCCCACTGTGCTTCTTAGTTAGGAATCAACATCTCTTCAGTCTAAAGTGCTGTGATACTGTGTATGAATGGGTAAGAAGACTGGATGGTCAGTTGAAGGGGCAATCAACATCCATTTTTGGACTTTAATTAATTATATGTACCCATTGATTCTTGAAGAATATAACTTATGTCTCATGTCTACCCCATCACAACCTAAAATATAAACATGTTTTACTCCAATGTTTGTCAAAGTAAATGCAAACAAACACTATATAGGGTGCGTTGGTAAATTCACTCTGGCTATCTACCCTGATTTCAGAGCACTCTCGTCTGAGTGTACCAGAGTGCAGAATAACTGATTAATTTATGAATGGCGCAACACCGGTTGAATATGACCGGTGTCAGTAATCGACAGCAAAAGTAATTAAATTGTTGCCAGCAGCATAGTTACAGTCACCAACGCTCTAGATAATATGAATAGCCTAAACAGCTCTGCGATAAAAATGGTCAGAGTGAGGTGTGCTCTCATTTGTGTCTGGAAGTAGCTAGCAAGCCAGCCAACTTTAGCCAGTTAGCTTGGGTGCTTGACTGATGTTGTGAGGTCAGAACGCTTGGATCAACCCTACTCCTCCGCCAGAGGGTCCAGTGTGCGCTTACAACGCTCTGAATTTATGAACGCCCAGAGCGCACTCTGGCACTCCAGAGTGAATATACGAACACACCCATTGCCTCAAAACATGGTTAAAACTATAATTTTGGATGGTCAGTCCTTGCATCCATAGCTCTATATATGCATTTGAGAGTGGTTACATTTCTCCAGCCGCATCCCTTAGCTTTTTAATGAAACAGGGTTGGGGAGGTCGCTTTGTTACTGTTTCTACTGCTGCTTTAAGAATGCAGCTTTGTTTTTGTATGTCACAGAGGCAACTGACCAATGAATGAGCCCCAGCAGCCTACAAAATTTTATTGTGAATTATAATGCATCAAATATCAACATTCAAAAGTGGATTATGGCGCAATAGTGACTTTTCCTAATTAAATACAGGGTTGTCTTCAGTTGTAATGGTTGAGTTGGACAACAAAGTGTTGGATTGGAGTGTATTTTGGAAGTTACTTGCAAGTTTCTTTAGAATAAAAATGGGGCAAATCTGACAAAACAAACTATGTAAACCGGGAATTTGGCATAGAAATTAAATCTCATTCTAGTTTTATGGAATTCAAATCTGTCTAAGAGAATAGAGTAATGTTACACTGAAGGCAAGAGGAAAATAATGTTGAATTTTGAGAAGACTATTTTCAATGTATAGTAACGTTAGCTTTGGCATTTGTGACCTGCCTTGATCATTTTGTGAATGGAGCAAACTGAACCAAAACAAAAACGTATATGTTCCGAGTTGTGCAAAGCTGACCCATATCGTATCAGAAATGTTCAATTGAGTGATGGCCTAGTGATGCACATTACACGTTTCAAAGATACAGGCCTACAAGTAACGTAGCCATCCACAAACCTAAATATAAACAAATCCTCGATCATATCCATTTGATTATCAAAACACATGCACAGAACTATATGACATTGTTTACCTGTATGACCATGTACACAGTTAGCCAACTAGCTAACTTAGCTAGTTACAATAATAACCCACTATGTGATAGCAAATCAACTGAAAGCTGGTCGAATCTCTCTACATTTGTCTGTCTTAATTCAGAAGATATTTTATAACAACGGAGGGCAGTTCATAACGTGTAGCTACTAGTATCTGACAAAAACTGTCAAGTTGACGTTAACTAGCTAGCTAAGATTAGCCTACATTGCATTGGCAAACACCACCCCTTAGTGTTGCTGCAACAGCACGTGCTTTGTGGTAATTCAAAACAAAAACACTATGATAGCTATCTAGTTAGTTATTATAAACACAGAAACATGTTGAACTTACATTCGTGGTAGTTGCAGAGGAGGGGCACCCCGTCTGAGGAACACTCCGTCCACGAACACCCCATTTTTGCCGAGGCATCGCAAGTAGAAGTCTCCACCACCAGTGCTATCATCACTAACAGTGAATATTTCAAGATGTCTTCGAGAAATGAAACTGGAATGACCCATGCTCACATCCACGGAGCCCTGAGACGAGTTCCTCCCGATAGTCACCGAGCGCTTTTTCATCAAGTATTCGAATTCACGGCCCTCAAGCCGGGCAACCGGCCCAGACGACCCGCTTAACACCGCCATTTTACAGGATAAAGGGTATATTTGACAAATACTTATTTTTTTTAAACACCGGTATGGAAACGCCTGTGTATGTATTTTAAATGCCGTCGCAAATTGTAGAATCTAAAAAAGGGGCATCAAATTTAACACAAAAATGTAGGGGAACGTGCCAGACCAGGGACAGCGGCTCCAACCCTGCACGGCGACACAGAGAGAAAGGGTAGGAAAATGATCCAACCAAACAACGCAGCATGTGGATATGCCATGATTGACAATCCAATAACCCAATAAAAAATGAACATGCACTTGACGCTACACGGAGAAGACCAATCAGACACAAGAAACAGCTGATCATTGACTCAAGGTTGGTTGAACTGTAGTGTACGCGCTTGTGTTGTCACTAGTTACCACAGCCACAAAGTCAAAATGGGCTATATCTTAAATGCATGACAAACAAAAAAGTGCTTTTTGGTCTTAATTTAAGGTTAGGCATACGGTTAACAGTGTGGCTAAGGTTAGGGTTAGGTATAAAATCACATTTTAAAAAGAGAAATGTTTGAAATGGGCGGGGTTTATGACTTTGTGGCTGTGGTATGTAGTGACGACTGGCATTGATATTTTTACATTAACCTTCAAACATTGCCATTGCCAAGATCATAACGATTTCATGCTTTATGAGTGTTATTTTTGTTACAATAGAATTGAGCAATGTGTGGATTATTCGTGAAACTGCATTTATGTTGATGATGACGTTATGATTGTGCACTGCATGTTTCCATATTCAAAGCAACATGTCCCATAAAACCGAGAGTATGAACAAGTTTGCAATTTTGGATGAACAAATTGCCAATCGGAAGAATGGCTGGTATAGGTTGAGAATAAAGACTGAGACAATTTCCACAATAGTCATCATCCGACGCCTATACATTATGATCCACCACCCGGACTACTACGGACTCCATGCCTGGTATTGGATAGGACACCGTTTGAAGCAGCTTGCCGGTTTGTGTTATGGTACCCAGAATGCCCCGAGACTCCTCTCGTAAATGATGGAGGTCATAGTAGTCTGATAGCTTTTAAATCATTTTAGAAACATTCGTTACGAAAATATAATATATATTTTCGACCCCACCACCTGGTGTGGAGACTGGACCGAATGGTCGTTTATTTTACTGCAATAACCAACGTCTTTTGGGACTCGCTGTGGCCTTGCAGCATGCAAACATGTGCTTTTCACGATGACGTCACCAGTTGGCATCAATGCCCCGCCCAGTCCAGGGTTGTTTGTAAACAGAGGATGGTGGCTGTGGAGGGGAGGGTGATACATCGAACACCTCTTTGCAAGAGGACCATGATCACACCTCTAGTGACAAGTACTGATAGTGGCATTCATTTGAACAGGGTATGCCAGTATGGCTTTGGGTTACTACCTTGTCCTTCACCAGTCCAAATTATATTTTTCATGAAGCATCAGTTTACATCAGAAATTATGTTTGATTTGTCAGACAACACTACACACAATTTCTTGGCTCTTTGTACAGATGAATGGGAGGGGGAGGGGGGGGGGGGGGGGGGGGGGGGGGGGGGCATTATTATTTTTTGATTAAAAAATAAAACACTCCTGGCCACTCTTGAACATCTAAAACTATATAGAAAGTATGTAGAAATTATAATGGACCTATATATTTTCAAATAGGCCTAACTGCCCTTTTTCTGGCCCTCAAATTGCTTTTGACGAACAAATGGGTCAGAAAAAAAATCTGTGCGGCCTTCCGCTAAATTTTGAACTCCCGTTGTGGCCCTCGAGCCAAAAATATTGCCCACCCCTGCTTTATACTGTTTTATACCTAGTGTAACATATATCTTTCTTAAAGGGCATTGTACATGATCATTTTACATTTACATTTACGTCATTTAGCATACGCTCTTATCCAGAGCGACTTACAAATAGGTGCATTCACCTTATAGCCAGTGGGATAACCACTTTACAATGTTTATTTTTTTATATATATATTTTTTATTTAAAAAAATTTGGGTTTGGGTTGGGGTAAGGGGGGGTAGAAGGATTACTTTATCCTATCCCAGGTATTCCTTAAAGAGGTGGGGTTTCAAATGTCTCCGGAAGGTGGTGAGTGACTCCGCTGTCCTGGCGTCGTGAGGGAGCTTGTTCCACCATTGGGGTGCCAGAGCAGCGAACAGTTTTGACTGGGCTGAGCGGGAACTATGCTTCCGCAGAGGTAGGGGAGCCAGCAGGCCAGAGGTGGATGAACGCAATGCCCTCGTTTGGGTGTAGGGACTGATCAGAGCCTGAAGGTACGGAGGTGCCGTTCCCCTCACAGCTCCGTAGGCAAGCACCATGGTCTTGTAGCAGATGCGAGCTTCAACTGGAAGCCAGTGGAGTGTGCGGAGGAGCGGGGTGATGTGAGAGAACTTGGGAAGGTTGAACACCAGACGGGCTGCGGCATTCTGGATGAGTTGTAGGGGTTTAATGGCACAGGCAGGGAGCCCAGCCAACAGCGAGTTGCAGTAATCCAGACGGGAGATGACAAGTGCCTGGATTAGGACCTGTGCCGCTTCCTGTGTAAGGCAGGGTCGTACTCTCCGAATGTTGTAGAGCATGAACCTACAGGATCGGGTCACCGCCTTGATGTTAGCGGAGAATGACAGGGTGTTGTCCAGGGTCACGCCAAGGCTCTTCGCACTCTGGGAGGAGGACACAACGGAGTTGTCAACCGTGATGGCGAGATCATGGAACAGGCAGTCCTTCCCCGGGAGGAAGAGCAGCTCCGAGGTTGCCAAGGTTCAGCTTGAGGTGGTGATCCGTCATCCATACTGATATGTCTGCCAGACATGCAGAGATGCGATTCGCCACCTGGTTATCAGAAGGGGGAAAGGAGAAGATTAGTTGTGTGTCGTCAGTGTAGCAATGATAGGAGAGGCCATGTGAGGATATGACAGAGCCAAGTGACTTGGTGTATAGGGAGAATAGGAGAGGGCCTAGAACTGAGCCCTGGGGGACACCAGTGGTGAGAGCACGTGGTGCGGAGACAGCTTCTCGCCACGCCACTTGGTAGGAGCGACCGGTCAGGTAGGACGCAATCCAAGAGTGAGCCGCGCTGGAGATGCCCAGCTCGGAGAGGGTGGAGAGGAGGATCTGATGGTTCACAGTATCAAAGGCAGCAGACAGGTCTAGAAGGACAAGAGCAGAGGAGAGAGAGTTAGCTTTAGCAGTGCGGAGAGCCTCCGTGACAAAGAGAAGAGCAGTCTCAGTTGAATGACCAGTTTTGAAACCTGACTGGTTTGGATCAAGAAGGTCATTCTGAGAGACATAGCAAGAGAGTTGACTAAAGACGGCACGCTCAATAGTTTTGGAGAGAAAAGAAAGAAGGGATACTGGTCTGTAGTTGTTGACATCAGAGGGATTGAGTGTTGGTTTTTTGAGAAGGGGTGCAACTCTCGCTCTCTTGAAGACGGAAGGGACATAGCCAGCGGTCAAGGATGAGTTGATCAGCGAGGTGAGGTAAGGGAGAAGATCAACGAAGATGGTCTGGAGAAGAGAGGAGGGGATAGGGTCAAGCGGGCAGGTTGTTGGGCGGCCTGCCGTCACAAGTCGCAAGATTTTATCTGGAGAGAGAGGGGAGAAAGAAGTCAAAGCATAGGGTAGGGCAGTGTGAGCAGGACCAGCAGTGTCATTTGACTTAACAAACGAGGATCGGATGTCGTCAACCTTCTTTTCAAAATGGTTGACGAAGTCATCCACAGAGAGGGGGGGGGGGAGGAGGATTCAGCAGGGAGGAGAATGTGGCAAAGAGCTTCCTAGGGTTAGAGGCAGATGCTTGGAATTTAGAGTGGTAGAAAGTGGCCTTAGCAGCAGAAACAGATGAAGAAAATGTAGAGAGGAGGGAGTGAAAAGATGCCAGGTCCGCAGGGAGTCTAATTTTCTTCAATTTCCGCTCAGCTGCCCGGAGCTCTGTTCTGTGAGCTCGCAATGAGTCATCAAGCCACGGAGCTGGAGGGGAGGACCGAGCCGGCCGGGAGGATAGGGGACATAGAGAGTCAAAGGATGCAGAAAGGGAGGAGAGGAGGGTTGAGGAGGCAGAATCAGGAGATTGGAGGGAGAAGGATTGAGCAGAGGGAAGAGATGATAGGATGGAAGAGGAGAGAGTAGCGGGAGAGAGAGAGCGAATGTTGCGACGGTGCATTACCATCTGTGTAGGGGCAGAGTGAGTAGTGTTGGAGGAGAGCGAGAGAGAAAAGGATGCAAAGTAGTGGTCGGAGACTTGGAGGGGAGTTGCAGTGAGATTAGTAGAAGAACAGCATCTAGTAAAGATGAGGTCAAGCGTATTGCCTGCCTTGTGAGTAGGGGGGGACGGTGAGAGGGTGAGGTCAAAAGAGGAGAGGAGTGGAAAGAAGGAGGCAGAGAGAAATGAGTCAAATGTAGACGTAGGGAGGTTGAAATCCCCCAGAACTGTGAGGGGTGAGCCATCCTCAGGAAAGGAACTTATCAAGGCGTCAAGCTCATTGATGAACTCTCCAAGGGAACCTGGAGGGCGCTAGATGACAAGGATATTAAGCTTAAATGGGCTAGTGACTGTGACAGCATGGAATTCAAATGAGGAGATAGACAGATGGGTCAGGGGAAAAATTGAGAATATCCACTTGGGAGAGATGAGGATTCCTGTGCCACCACCCCGCTGACCAGATGCTCTCGGGGTATGCGAGAACACATGGTCAGACGAGGAGAGAGCAGTAGGAGTAGCAGTGTTTTCAGTGGTAATCCATGTTTCCGTCAGCGCCAAGAAGTCGAGGGACTGGAGGGTAGCATAGGCTGAGATGAACTCTGCCTTGTTGGCAGCAGAACAGCAGTTCCAGAGGCTGCCTGAGATCACCTTGGAACACCATACCTGGGGTCTATCTGAGTATCCAAAAATGGCATTCCTCTCCTCATCTCTCCTCTCCTTAATTGTTCAAAATATAGGATAAGTGGAAGCAATATGGCAGAGACCCACCCAGGGGATTCG